TATATCATTATTATTATTATTATTATTATTATTATTATTATTATTATTATTATTATTATTTATTATTATTTATTATTATTTATTATTATTATTTATAAAAATTACATTTTTTATTATTATATAATGGATGTACATTAGAAAAAAAGAGTATTTCTCAGATGATAGCGGGTTCATGCTAACATGCTAACACATCCAGCTAGCTAACACTTTAGAGTAAAAACACTGTTTTAGGGTTAGATTAGTCTCACCTTGCAAGCGATTCGGTGTGGACAGAACTTCCCAAACCCCAGAGGAGGAGGAATCCTCCTCAGGAGAGTGACCACGTCCAGGTGCTTAATGCGCCCCCTACAGACAAAGGTGAGAACTACACCTCACACAGGTGAACGGGAGCAAATAAAAAAACAATTATAGTTGTTTTTTTATTAGTATCTAGACTGTTTTCTGTGTAGTCCAATTTTCTGAGCTAAAAACAACAATGCTTTCCTCTAAACCAAAATGTAAACCTGAAAATAATTAAATTAAATAAATTAATTAATTTAAATTAAATAAATGAACCTTTTAATATGGAACCAAACTAATTTTGCTTTAACATTGAATATGGAACAAGCAACTGTTATTACTTTATATATAACTTAATAGTGGAGACATGCAAGATCACATTCCAAATAAAAAAACACATCAATGGCATTCATTTATTAAATAAAATTTAAAAACATTTTTCTATGGGCAGCCTTCTGAATTAAATATCTAAACTAAATGAACCAGGAAAAAACTAACGGAAAATGATTGAATAAAAAGAACTGCTCCCCTTTAGTGTAATATACGTTAACATTAACTACGTACGTGGCTTCAGGATCATATTCAGCCCAGATCTTTTTGAACTCGTCCAAGTGTTGGGGGCCCAGAATCGACCAATCACGCGTCAGGTAGTCAAAGTTATCCATGATGACGGCCACAAACAGGTTGATGATCTGTTCATGAAAAGAGACAAAACCATTAGATTTTTTTCATTGCACAGACATTCTATTAACAAAGGATCTTTATTTCCCTCTGAAAAAATAAAGTTTTAAGATTCAGCTACTTTGTGTAATTGGCTAAGATTTTTCCAAACTTACTAACAAATTAAATTCCTCTAAAACTGTTTAAAAATTCCAGGTATTTATGAGCCACAATGATAATGTGAATTTATACTTTTCCCATAAACTACAAACCAAACTCCAGAT